GGTCATCCTTGTACCGCTCCGAGAAAAGTCGCTTGCCGCGCTCGAAATCTTGGATGGTTGAGCACTTCATGAGCTCCTCCAAGTCCTTCACCGGCGACAGCCCATCCTTGGATCTGGAGCTGAAGTGTCTGAGCCTGTCACGCACACCACAACGCCGTTGCAGACAAGTATCAGAGTGCCGCGTCAGCAGGTAAAGCACACGAATGTGTGAACATACACGCACGCGCGTACATGCACACGCATAGACACGCGCACACACACACACACACAGACAGAGAAGCACACACACACACGGAGCCACACACACACACACACACACACACACACACACACACACACACACACACGCACACGGAGCCACACGCACGCACGCACACGCACACGGAGCCACACACACACACACACACATACACATACACACACACACGGCGTCGCGCAAGAGGTACACGATCTCTCACCAAGCTTGCTTCACGTGAAACTGGCAAAGAAGCCAGCGAGAGTTGGGAAGTGCCTCATCCACGGCGCGACCTTCGGCAAATGTCTTATCCGTGATCACGGCCGATGGAGTGATACCGTGGTCTGCAACCGCTTTCCGTAGAAAGTGTGCGACGACGCCGATCGTCTCGTGACTCACAATGGGCGTGCGCCACAGGTATTCCCCATCCATAGACGCTTTCGACCACCACGCTAATCAACGGGTGGTCGTACATGTTTGTGCCATGTGTTGAGTCAAGAAAAATGCCACGATGCCCACACTCCTAAGGAAACACAGAACAAGCATGCATGGGAAGTGATGACGAGACGCTTACCATTAGCCACGTGCACAAGGCTGGCGACACACTGCAGTATTGACACGCCAACACGACACGAGTCAACAGAGTGCCCCATGTGTTGCAAGGCGGTGCACATCATTGACCATGCATGCAAGGATTCAAGACGCGAGCACGGCACTCAGCACCACACACCTTGAGCACGCGTCGCTGCCACTCAGTCTGCACAAGGATGAATAGTGACTCTTGCGGGAAATCGCCTGAGGCGCGCTGTTCAGGCCCGCCAAACTCAAACGCCTCCTGACCTTGAAGCTTCAAGGCTGTGATGACCGGGGTGTGCTCGCCAGCCTCCTTGTTGTAGATTTGTGCAGCGTACCACACAGAAGCGGCGTCATCCGCATCAAAGCGCCCAGGCTCGTACTCCTGAGCAACGTTGTAGACATGCGCTTGCTTGAAAATGCTAGTCACGCAAGCACGACAAAGACGGTAAGAACGTGCACTGACACACAAGCACACGCAAGGCAGAGAACACACACACACACACACACACACACACACACAAAAACACACACGCACACTCGTTCACTCACTCACCCACTCACGCGCGCACTCACACACACACACACACACAGACACCGCATCGATCTAACCTGATACGTGGATGCGAGGAAAAGGTCGCCTTCACCTGATGATAAATGGCCGTGTAAGACGCCGAGACACGAAGGAGACGTGCCACTTCTGCACGAAACACGCCTGGCAGCTGTAGGTGACGCAGGTCCTTCGAATGTGAGTGGTAGTTGAACATCACCACCCGCACTCGCCCGCCTTTGCAGACCTGCCCCCACATCATTGCTGGACAACACCCAACAGGTTTTGGCGCCTTTGCACGGTGAGCGCGGATTGTGCCCTGATATGGTCGCTCATTGCCATGCCGAGAGCACGTCCGGACGAATTCTTCTTCCACCTGTACATGTTCGAGGCCCCACGCGGCAGCTTTTGGTGGGAAGCAGCAGGTGTGGTCACGCTTGACGTAATCGACGAGGGCAAAGTCGTCACACTCTGCCGCGGCGATGCACGACTCGAACCTGCTCCACGAGGCGTAGTAACGCACGACACAACCTGCAACGAACGACGTCGGGCAGGAGAGACATTGCTGATGAGAAACACAGGATCGGAGACAACAGGCAGGCCACAATCAAATACTCACATGAGGCGTCGTGATCCGTAATAACATGCTGCATGAGTTCCTTCGCGGTACAAAACGCAGCATCTGCGCAACCGCTCCGGCACTGAAAATGACCACGCGCCTGGCATATAGGGCAGAGCGCCGCTGGTGAGTAACACACGCACATACACACACAAAAGAGCGCAGACACACGCACGCATAAACACACACACACACGCTGCAAGCGTGTACAATCACCACCAGATTCTGACCTTCTGTTTTCCGTGGTCGCGTAGTTGGTGCCTGGAGAGCGCCTGTCTGCTGCTGAAGGTCTGTGTACATGTGTTCTCGGGGCATGGGTACACAATGGCAACCTCGTTGCTGTTATTCTTGAACGTTTGCAGAAGGTCAGCAACGTCAGCACCTTTGTGCGACGTGCAGATGTGACGCTTGGCAGAGTCGAAACGAGTGAAGCGGGCGCTACAGCCAGACGCTGGGCACTCGAAAGGTTTCGTGTCTAGTGAAATCGCCGACAAGTGGCGTGAGCACACACGAGCGCAAACACACACACACACATACACACACACACACACACACACACACACAAGAGCGCACTCACACGAGAGTGCACACACACACAAGAGCGCACACACGGAGTGTTGTTTCGTACCCGGGGTGACGACATGTGCCTGGTGTTGTTGTGTCGTCGCAGCTGTGACTTCTGACCCAGTCCCTGGGATACACACACATGCGCATGCAGCTAACCATGAACAGACATGCACACAAGAGCGCACAAGCACACACGCACACACAGGCGCACACGGAGTGTTGTTTCGTACCCGGGGTGGCGACAGTTGCCTGGTGCTGTTGCGCCGTGGCTGTGACTTGTGACACAGTCCCTGGGATACACACATGCACATGCAGCTAACCATGAACACACACACAAGAGCGCGCACACACACACGCACACACAGGCGCACACGGAGTGTTGTTTCGTACCCGGGGTGGCGATAGTTGCCTGGTGTTGTTGCGCCGTGGCTGTGACTTGTGACTCAGTCCCTGGGATACACACACACACACATGCGCATGCAGCTAACCATGAACAGACACACACACACACACAAGAGCACACACACACACACACACACACACACACACACACACACACACACACACACACACACACACACACACACACACACAAACAAGAGCGCACACATACACAAGAGCGCAACACATGCACAAGCACACACACACACACACACACACACACACGCAAGAGCGCAAACACACGCACACGCACGCACAGGCGCACACAAATAATCACTGAGAGATACACACATAGACACTCATGCACATACGGACACAGGCAGGGTGGGGCCATTGCGCACCGTGTGTGTTATTGGCGGATTCGTCGGGCAGAGGCAGTAACTCTTCAGTGATGCGGTCGCGGACAGACGAAAGAGGAGGTCAGGGTGGTTGTTGTGTGAAGTCAAGCGATCATGTGAGGGACAGCCAGGCAGGGGAAGACTTGAACACCACATGAAGGCTGTTCTTTGTGGGCAAGAGACGTGGGAATGACAAGTGCGCACCGAGGGTATCGACCAAGTCTTCAGGAGAGATTTGATCGGGAGTGGTGTGGATGGATGCCATCGTTGGAGTGGGGAGGGGTTGGTGGGTGAGGGCAGTGGGGTTGTGCAGTGTGGTGGGGAGGACGGGGTCGTTGCAAAAATGTTTATTTGGGTCAGACACGTTTTTCAAAAGGCAGAATATTGGGTGTGTGGTGGGGAGCAATCTCAGGAGCGGTGAGTGGGCCACCGGGAATGCAGACGCACTTGCCCGGACACAACGGATCGACACCATAAATTGCAGTGAAGACAGCCACGAACCGAACCGAGAACAACGATGGACGACGACGCACACCTGCACGACTTGCCGGTAAGCTGGCTGGGTGGAAAGGACAGTAAGAAGCGCAAAGGAAAAACGAGAGGGGAGGAAGGAAAAGAAGGGGGTGACAATGAAGTGCGTGTCACAACTGCGCCAGCGTCTCTCGTTGTGAGTGTTGCACTTATGCTTGCTTTCTGATGCACCTTTGTTTTGTGTGTGTGTGTGTGTGTGTGTGTGTGTGTGTGTTGATTTGATGACTGCCATGCATGCAGGAGGATGATCTCCTGGATGATGCAGACCAGGAGCTTGTGACAGAGCCACAGGACGCTTCAGCAACAGGCACGCGAACCCAACATGCCTCTCCTCTTGTGTGTGTGTGTGTGTGTGTGTGTGACTTGCATGCGGGTTCATTGGGACATCGATCCTATTCGCTTATTGATATGCCACACATCCTTCCACGTGTGCTTTTTGTTTGTGTTCTTTTCGTTTGCTTTGGGAATGTTCTTGCGGTATTGCAGTTGATGCAGAAGCCGCTTCTTCCTCGGAAGCAGGCAGCACGGTGCCGCGCCCAAAGCAGCCCGTGCGCCCCGCTCCGCCCCGACCATACGCGGTGCGCAAACGTTACAATTTGTTTGTGTGTGTGTGTGTGTGTGTGTGTGGATGTGAGCTTGTGTGTGTCTCTGTGTGTGTGTGTGTGTGTCTCTGTGTGTGTGTGTGTGTGTGTGTGTGTGTGTGTGTGTGTGTGTGTGTGTGTGTGTGTGTGTGTGTGTGTGTGAGGCGGTCTGTGTTTTGGTTCCATGAATATCCATGTGCATGTATGCAGCAATTGCTATGACAACATCGACGGGGCGCCCTGTTGCCATGCTGAGGGTGTCATTGCGGGTATCCCTCAGCTGCTTGCGATGTTTCGCTGACACCTGACGACACGTTGTCCCTGCTGGTATGTGCAGAGTGAGAAGAAGGTGCCTCCACCGAGGCCAGCGCCACCGCAGGCGGCATCCACTGCCGCAAAGGCAACACCAGCCACAACAGCGGACCAGCAGCAACAACACGAGGAAGAGGAGGAGGACTTCTCCGACATTGAGAGCCTGGGTGTGCTCAGCACAGCGGGTGTCGATCGACAGAGCCGACCCGTGTTTGTTTTCTACGCGTGTAAGCTTCCCCCACGCGCAGACAACCTCCACGACAAGATGCTCAGGTGGGCGTGTGTCTGTGTGTCTGTGTCTGTGTGTCTGCGTGTCTGTCTGTCTGTCTGTCTGTGTAATTGCAAGGGGACTGTGATGATAGCACTGTGATGTCACTTGGCTGTGCGTGTAGTGTGCCGTGGTGGGGCAGCGAGGTGACCTCTTGCACTCATAGGCAACCCTCTCTCTCTTTCGCTCTCTTTATCTTACTCACACACACTCGCTTGCCCGCTCGCTTCCTTGCTTCGTCTGACTTTGGTGTGTCGGCAACAACAGATACATGGTCAAGACAATGGACGCGATTGTGGAGAATGACTACTCCATCATCTACTTCCACCACGGCCTCTCCCGCGATGTCAGTGGGAACCTGCGAGGGTGTGGGTACAGGGTTGGGTGGACGACAGTTGTGGTGTCGGTGTCTGTGTGTCGGTGTGGATGCTTTGGCTGCCAATCTACGCTGGCTGTCTGTCTTCACTGCCTGTCTCCATTTGGTTGACACTCTGCTACTGCGTTATCTTGAATCACTGTCTTCGTGTGTGTACGATCGTGTGTGTCTGTCTGTCTGTCTGTCTGTCCGTCCGTCCGTCTGTCTGTGTGTGTGTGTGTGTGTGTCTGTCTGTCTGTCTGTCTATGTGTGTGTTGTGTGCACGTTTGTTTGTTGTTTCTGCTGCAGACAAAACCCTCCCTCAACTGGCTGCGAAAAGTCTACTTCAGCTTCGATCGCAAGTGCGTGCATGGCCACTTCGGTTCAGCAACACCCGCTTCCCCCCCCCCTTTCGTTTTGTGTGGACATGGGAGTTGCTGGATTTGTGTCTTTGATGTGCATGGGCACTCCCATTACATGTGCACGAGCGCACTCACGCCACTGTTGGCTGCTCCGCGTGTGGTTGATGGCTGCAGGTACAAGAAGAACCTCAAGGCGCTCTACGTTGTGCATGCGACCATGTTTGTGCGGACTGTCATGACCATTCTTCGCCCCTTTATCAGGTGAGGCCGAGGGAAGCGCAGCTCTGTGTGTGTGTGTGTGTGTGTGTGTGTGTGTGTGTGTGTCTGTGTGTGTCTGTGTGTGTGTGTTTGTGTGTGTGTGTGTGTGTGTGTGTGCGGCTGCGTGTATGTATGTGTTCGTGGCTGTCTTTCTGTCGCAAGTTCCTCTGTACCTGTGACTGTGCACCTTCGATGATGGCTTGCACATGCTGCACACACACATGTCGCGTGTTCACGGACGTGAGTCTGCGCCATCGCATATGTGTGCGTGTGCTGGTCGTCACAGCAAGAAGTTTGGCCGCAAGATCACATTTATCCACGAGCTGTCTGCGCTCGAGAGCCATGTCCACATCGACCAGCTCCACATCCCCGACGTTGTCAAGGAGTACGTGTGTATGTGTGTGTATGTATGTATGTATGTATGTATGTATGTATGTATGTATGTATGTATGTGTGTATGTGTGTACATGCGTGTGTGTGTGCATGTGTCCTTGCGCGACGCTTTATGTTCATCGTTCTGCCTCTCAGCTGTCTGCCAGACTGTCTTGCTCTCTGCGCCTCGCTGTCGCGCATGCTCTCAACATTGTGTGCTCGGTGTTTTTCGTGTTGTGTTGTCAGGCACGATGAGAAGCAGCGTCGAAGCAAACGCACTCGCACCGTCTCCGGCGCACAAACAGGTTGGTGAGGCGGTTGTGTGAATGTGTCAACACGTGGACGCGTTTGTGGTTTTTCCATGTCTTGTGTGAGTTCGTGTGCTTGCGTGCATCCGTATACTCCTGACCACGCACGCACGTTTGAGTGTGTGTGTGTGTGTGTGTGTGTACACATGCGTGTTTTCTTCTGTCCATTTCCTCGTGATTTCGTTTGACCTGCGTCACCATCCCCCCCCCCCTCTCCTCTCTTCTTCCCTTGACCACAGCCGGTAGCACTGGGCCGCGCGTGTTTGGGGAATCGCTTGATTGCATCACGGCCATGGACGAGGACTCCGGTCTTCCCGCCGTCATCGCCGCAGCCATCAACCACCTCAGGCTTCACGGTGTGTGTGTGCGTGTGTCTGTGTCTGTGTCTGTGTCTGTGTTTGTGTCTGTATCTGTGTGGGTGTGCGCGCGTGTGCGTGGGTGTGCGTGTGTGTCTCTGCACATCTCTGTGTTTATCTGCTTATGTACGTCCGTCTCCCCTTGCCCCTCCCTCTTTCTAATTTCATCTCCCCTTGCACCCCCCCCCCTTCTAATTCCCTTTCCCCTGTCCCCCCCCCCTTTCGGTTCTCATCACCTGCCCATGGCCGCGACTGCCTGGCCAGGGATGGACGTTGAGGGCATTTTCCGCCGGTCTGCCAACGCCAATACCATCAAGGAGCTCAAGCAGCAGGCAAACGAAGGTGCGGCTTCTCTGCTGCCGCTGGTTTTGTTGACCGTGCACGCGTGTGTCATTGCCTCTGCGCTAAACTGTTTTGCTGCCGGACGTTCTGGGCACGTTTGCTTTGCCTGCTGGTCTGATCTGCCTGGCGACAGGATTTGCCCCGTTCTTCCCGCCATGACCAGCACACCACATTCATTCACGCGCTTTCATGAACTCCTGCATCGAAACGTTCATGAACACCTTCATCCACACGTTCACCCACATTCCCTCCTGCAGGTGCGGCCATTGACTTTTCGGCGCACGCGGACATCCACATCCCAGCGGTTATTGTCAAGACGTTTCTGCGCGATTTGCCGGAGCCGCTCCTCACACACGACAAGTTCGCACAGGTCCTCGCCATCTCAGGTTTGTACCCATCGGGGCCGGGGGTTGGGGGACACGTCTTTGCGTTTGTGTCTGTGTGTGTGTGTCTGTGTGTCTGTGTGTCTGTGTGTGTGTGTGTGTTTGTGTCTGTGTGTGTGTTTGTGTGTGTGTGTGTGTTTGTGTCTGTGTGTCTGTGTGTGTCTGTGTCTGTGTGTGTCTGTGTGTGCGTGTGTGTGCGCGTGCGTGTGCGCGTGCGTGCGCGTGCGCGTGCGCGTGTGTGCGCGTGCGTGTGCGCGTGCGTGCGCGTGCGCGTGTCTGTGATTGTGTTTCTTTGTACCTGCGTGTCCTTGCATGTGCCCATTCCTGCATGCAGCGCTTCCTCCAACTTCTCGACGTAACGCTACCGGCATTCACACATACACACGCACCACGCGCACATCTACTTGTGTACGTGTTGTCAGGCATGGAAGATTCTGCGGAGAAACTACAGCAAACAAAGGACATCTTCCACACGCTGCCGCCACGCAACCTGGCGCGTGAGTTGGATGAAGCGACCTGTGTGACAGCACACACACACACCTCACATGCAGCAGCAGCAACAACAACAAACAAACAAACAAAAAAACAAACAAACAAATAGCGCGCTTGCAAGCACCACGCTCACAGCACCTTGCACATACATACGCGCATGCGACCAGTTGCACGGTGCCTGTTTCTGTTCTTCAAGGACATTGCTGAGCGCAGCGAGGAGAACAAGATGACCGCCTCCAACTTGGCCATCGTCATTGGCCCAAATCTCCTCTGGTCCCGCGACATGGCTGCTAACCTCGCAAGTGCGTTTGGAAAGAGGGAGGGCGGGGTGGGATGGATGGACAGAAGCGACAGGGCGCGCGACACTGTGTGTCTGTGTGTGTGTGTGTGTGTGTGTGTGTGTGTGTGTGTGTGTGTGTGTGTGTGTGTGTGTGTGTGTGAGTGAGTGAGTGTGTGTGTGTGTGTGTATGTTGTCTGTCTGTATGTGCAGACACTCCTCTCCCTCTCCCCCCTCCCCCTTCTCAAACCACTGCGTCTCCCGCATTTCGCTCCTCACGCCCCCTTTCGTTGCCTTTCTGCTGCCTGCGTGTAGCCATGGGCCAGATCAACGTGTTTACGCAGTATGCCATCGAGAACGCGCGCCGCATCTTCCCGGACGACGCAAGCGCGGACGAAGCAACAGCAGACGCTCCATCATCGTGATCACCGTCGTCATCGCCACAGTTGCTGATGGTGCAATGGGTGTTCCCATGTCGCAACATGTGATGTGATGTGACACACACACACAGCATACACACACACACACACACACACACACACACACACACACACACACACACACAGCATACACACACACACACACAACATACATACACACACACAGCATACACACACACACAGCATACACACACAGCATACACACACACACACACACACACACACAACACACACACACACACACACACACACACACACACACACACAGCATACACACAGCATACACACACACACACACACACACACAGCCGTTGCAAATTGCAAATTGCAAATTGCGTGCCTCGTGAAAGTGCGCAACCACCACTTTGTTGCTGTCCTCCGCGAGTCCTTGCGCACTCCACCACCATCAGCGCACCCACACCAAGCAAGCAACCACGTTGCTTCACTTCTTGCTTTGATCAGGTAGCGCCGACAAACCACACCCCCCCCGCCTCTTCCCTGCTCGCTTGCTTGCTTGTTGTTGTGTTGTGGCCGTTCCATTTGCCGCTGGCCCTCTTGTATGCGTCCTCTTTGATTGAATTGCCAGTCACGAACCGAACCAGAGGTCAATGTGGATGAAACAAGTGAGAACGCACATGTCCCTGTCCTCTGCTTCGCCTCTTGTTGCAACACACGATAACAACGCACCACTCGCCTCGCGTGCACGCACACGTACACTTTGAAACGAAGAAGGGAACCACAGACGACCAAACATGGTGTTCTCGTACCACTCGCACAGCGGGCAGTTCTGCAAGCATGCGGCAGAGACGCTTGAGGCGAACGTGCTCGCAGCCATCGAGGTTCGCCCTCGCGTTTGTACGGCATGTGTTGTGTGCATGTGTGTGTGCATATGTGTATATGTGTGTGTGTATGCTCTGTGCTCTCTCCCTCTCTCTTTGTCTGTTTGTCACTGTGCCTCTGTTCGAGCTTACACAGTTGTTTGTTTGCGACTGTCATGCGCATGCAGCTGGGCTTCACCCACCTCGGCCTTTCCGAGCATATGCCTCGCTACTGTGACGAGCACTTGTACCCCGAAGAGAAGGAGGTACGTGCTCATTGTGTGTGTGTGTGCGTCTATGCCTGTGTGTGTGTGTGTGTGTGTGTGTGTGTGTGTGTGTGTGTGTGTGTGTGTGTGTGTTGGTACATGAGGCCAACACGTTCGTGCAGCTGCTGCTGCTGCTCCTCACAGCAACATCTGCCACTACCGCGCTGTCCTGTTGTGTTCACGTGAATATGTAGCTGGGCATGACACCCGCCGATCTGGAGCAGCAGTTCGACGCCTACGTGCAGGAAGCACGCCGCGTCAAGGCAAAGTACGCCGACAAGATCCACCTCGTCATCGGCTTTGAGACGGAGATGTGCCGCCCAGAGTCCGTGGCAGATGCACTGCACCTGATGCAGAAGTACTCGCTCAGCTACTGCGTGGGCTCCGTGCACCACGTCAATGGCGTTCCCATCGACTTTGATGAGCCAACCATTGCACGCGTGGAGAAACAGCTCGGCTCCACGGAGGCGCTCTTCGTGCGCTACTTCGAGCTCGTCAAGGAGATGATTGAGGGCATCAAGCCTGCTGTCGTCGGCCACTTTGACCTCATTCGTCTGCTGCGACCACAGCAGCCGCTCACGGAGCGCATCTTGGCTGCTGCCGATGCCGCCATCAACGCCGCCGTCAAACACAACTGCCTGTTTGAGATTAACACTGCAGCGCTTCGCAAGGGCCTCCAGGGGCCTTACCCACACGCCGACCTCGCCCTTGTACGATGCCATCATTGCGTGCGCGTGTGTCTGTGTATGTGTGTGTCTGTGTGTATGTGTGTGTATGTGTGTGTCTGTGTGTGTGTGTGTGTATGTGTGTGTCTGTGTATGTGTGTGTATGGTGTGTCTGTGTGTGTGTGTGTGTGTGTCTGTGTCTGTGTCTGTCTGTCTGTCTGTCTGTCTGTCTGTCTGTCTGTCTGTCTGTCTGTCTGTCTGTCTGTGTGAAGGGGTCTCTTTGCGACATGCCCATGTGTGTGTGTGTGTGTGTGTCTCCTTGTCCGACCCTCCATCCATTCGTCCTGGCTTCGATAGCCACACGTTTGTCACACCCATACTCATTCCCTCTCCTCCACCCCCCCCCCCCAACTCGACCCCAACTCGTGTCCAACGCCCCCACCGCCCACCAGCGCATTGCGCAGCGCGGAGCCCGCTTCACCATCAGCGGCGACAGCCACTGCCCCGACTTTGTGGCCACGTGCTATGCCGCGCTCCCCGCGTATCTGGACGCCCTCGGCGTGGACGCCATCTGGTACCTTGAGGCCGACGAAGGCAAGCCCGCCCTGGCACACCTGTGCACGGACTGGCGGCGCTGGTTCGACACACACTGCCAGCAGCAAGACGGCAAGGAAGGGCACGTGGTGGCAACGGACAACACCGGGCAGACAGCCTCCAAGTGACGCCGGTGCATGCGAACTCATGCTGTGTGACGACCTCGTGCAGTCACGAGTGTGCTATCCATCTCATTTGTTTGCCGTAAGCAACCCTGTCGTTCCCCCTCCCTCCTTCCTCTCTTTGCGATGTGTGCCCCTTCCTTGCTTGCCCCCCCCCCCCTCCATGCTGCTTGTCGTCAATGTCATGTTCCAGCTGCTGAGGAGCAGCGCAGCTTCCTCATCGCCACTTGCACTCACGTCGTCACATCACATCACGTAGCCTAGAACCACATCTCACATGCTCCACGACACGATCCACCCTGCCAGCCACTCGGTTTCGTTTATCGGTGCATCGCCGAATGCAACACAACAGCTTGCGCGCTGCAACGTCAAGTACAGGCACACGCACACGCACTGCCACGATAAGGGAGACAGACAGACAGAGAGGGGGGAGGAGATAGGAAACGAAGGGGACCACGAACATGCACAAAGCCAAAGACAGGTCAGAGAAGTACAGGGAGATATCACATAATCCCCACAACAGCCGCGCGCACACACGCACACACTCGCATACACATACACACATACACACACACACAACGCACACACACACAACACACTCACTCACTCATACACACACGCGCGCACACACACACACACACACTCACTCACTCACTCACTCACACAACCCACACGGCGCACGTGCTGCTATGCTCCGGCGAGTGCGGGAAGAGCGAGCGCGGCTGCAAAGCCCGTGCCGGAGACGAGAACGGCGCCAGAAAGGCCCACGGCAAACGGTTTCCAGCCCACGCTGCGCAGGCCCGCAAACGACGTGGACATCCCCACCGCCGCCATGGCCGTGCCGAGCAGCACCCGCGAGCCCACGTCCCCGCTCACTGTGTTGACCACCTGCCGCCACGCCTCCTTGTCGAGCAGCCCGTACGCCATGCCGGCCTCGGCCAGCGTGTAGTCGCCAATGGAGCGCGCAAGCGACATGCTGGCAAAGCCAATCACAAACGACGGAACATACTTGCGCAGGTTGTGTGCCACCGTGTGCAGCGCTGACCTCGTGGTTGCCGTTGAGGCTGCAGCTCCTGCCGCTCCTACCGCTGCTGTTGCAGCTGCCGCTGGACCTGGCACCTTGTTACCCGCGCCACTGCTGCTACCGCTGCTGCTATTGCTGCCGTTGCCACCATTGGTTTTGTCTGCGTAGGCCCAAGTCATGTAGGGGATCACGCCCACCAGGAGCATGTTGCGGGAGAGCTTGGTGACAACGGCTGCTTGGAACGCCACGTCGTCGGCGTAAAGCTGCTGGTATGTGAGTGCAGAGCCAACAACCTGCGCTGTGTCGTGCACAGCCAGGCCAAGGAAGATGCCCGCCTGTTCGCTGGTTGGCAGCAGCGCGTGGGCCATGTAGGGCATGAGCAGCATGTTGATGGTGCCAAACGCCACAACATTGGCCACGGCAAAGGCCGTGTCTGTCTGCGTGGCGCGGATGGCCGGGGAGAGCGCGGAGATGGCTGTCACGCCACAGATGCTGGTCCCCGTGGCGATCAGCGCGCCCATCTTCTCCGGCAGGCCAAACGCGCGGGCGAGGCGCGGCACAGTGAGCAGGCCCACGCTCACGGCCGCCAGGGCCGCAGGCACACCGGCGGCGCCAACAGCGGCCACCTCCAGCGCAGACAGCTTCGCACCCACGCACACGATGCCGGCCTTGAGCAGCTTGTCCTTGCAGAAGGAAATGCCAGGCCCCAGCGGCGCGGCGCGAGACCACAGCGGGCTGTTCTTAATCAGCATGCCCATGATGATGGCCAGCGGGATGCCGGAGATGGGTGACTTGCCAGCGCCCTCAATCCCTTGCACGGCAAGCAGCACCTGTCCCAACTGGTCTGCCGCCGCAAAACCAAGCTCCATCACCGCGCCGCAGGCCACGATCCCGGGGATCGCGCGCACCACCTGCTGTTGGATGGTGGGCGCCGCAGTCGGCACTGCTTCATCTTGTTGTTCTTCTTGTTGCTGCTGTTGCTTGGCAGACGGAGTGTGTGCTGTTTCCTGATTGTTACGACTCGACGACGCGAGCCTGTGCTGTGAAGCGATCGTTGGTGCTGCTGCTGCTGCTGCTGCCCGTCCAGCAATAGATGCCACGACCGCCTTGTATCCTTTGTATTGGCCAGCGCTGGTCGCCAGCCGCGCTACACGCACACCGAGCACAAGCATGATGTTGGGTGAATGGTGTGGTGAATGGTGTGGTGAATGGTGGTGTGCATGAGCACTGTTGCTTTGTCTGTTGCTTCGTTGTGTGCTTTGTGTGTGCATTCCCCGAACGCAAAACTCAGAATGGCGCCACAGCAGGCAGGACTTGCACTGGTGCTGGTGGCACTCGCAGCAGCAGCAGCAGCAGAGGTGATCCAGGACGCCACCACAACAGCCACCGTTCACCTTGGCGATGTGTCACCGTACGTGATGCTTTTGTGTCTTTGTGTGTGTGCATGTGTGTGTGTGTGTGTGTGTGTGTGTGTGTGTGTGTGTGTGTGTGTGTGTGTGTCTGTGTGTGTGTGTGTGTGTGTGTGTGTGTGTGTGTGTGTGTGTGTGTGTGTGTGTGTGTGTGT